AAGCAGTGGTATCAACGCAGAGTACTGGTATTTTTTCTTTATATTTTGAATGGGGAGCTATGAGGAGAATGACATTCGACTTTTGAGGGGGTTCCTACGGTGGCCCTGAAGTGCAAAACAAATTAACATGTCAGAAAACAAAATTACAAAAACTAAAACACATTTAAAAAACTTAAAACAAATTTACAAGACGCAAAACACTTTTACAAATACTGAAACACTTTTACAAACGCTGAAACACTTTTACAAACTGCGATTTCTGACGGAAAGGGAGGGTCTAACACACAGGAAGTGCTTGATGCGGACCCTCCTTGTCAGTCAAGCTGCGTTACGATGAGAGAGTGGAGTTATGAACACCAAACTATGTTTTGTGGCACGTATTTTAGCAGCAGCAGTAAATACTTAAACTATCCCTGTCCTGTTGCTACCCCCGCCGCGCGGTTCACCTAATGCCCGGCGGCCATCAGCCACTGCCCCCGCCGCGGGGTTCTCCTAATACCCCGGGGGTTCAGCCACTGCCCCGCGGTTATCAGCCACTGCCCCTGCCGCGGGGTTCACCTAATACCCCGGGGGTTCAGCCACTGCCCCGCGGTTATCAGCCACTGCCCCCGCCGCGGGGTTCAGCTAATGCCCGGCGGCCATCAGCCACTGCCCCGCGGTTATCAGCCACTGCCCCCGCCTCGGGGTTCAGCCGCTGCCCCGCGGTTATCAGCCACTGCCCCCGCCGCGGGGTTCAGCTAATGCCCGGCAGGCATCAGCCACTGCCCCGCGGTTATCAGCCACTGCCCCCGCCGCGGGGGGCAGTGGCTGATAACCGGGGGGCAGTGGCTGAACCCCGCGGCGGGGGCAGTGGCTGATGGCCGCGTGGCATTAGCTGAACCCCCGGGGTATTAGGTGAACCCCGCGGCGGGGGGTAGCAACAGGACAGGGATAGTTTAAGTATTTACTGCTGCTGCTAAAATACGTGCCACAAAACATAGTTTAGTGTCCATAACTCCACTCTCTCATCGTAACGCAGCTTGACTGACAAGGAGGGTCCGCATCAAGCACTTCCTGTGTGTTAGACCCTCCCTTTCCGTCAGAAAGCAGTGGTATCAACGCAGAGTACTGTTTGTAAAAGTGTTTCAGCGTTTGTAAAAGTGTTTTAGCGTTTGTAAAAGTGTTTCAGCGTTTGTAAAAGTGTTTTAGCGTTTGTAAAAGTGTTTCAGCGTTTGTAAAAGTGTTTTAGCGTTTGTAAAAGTGTTTTAGTGCTGGTAAAAGTGTTTCAGCATTTGTAAAAGTGTTTCAGCATTTGTAAAAGTGTTTCAGTGCTGGGAAAAGTGTTTTGCGTCTTGTAAATTTGTTTTAAGTTTTTTAAATGTGTTTCATTTTTTGTAATTTTGTTTTCTGACATGTTAATTTGTTTTGCACTTCAGGGCCACCGTAGGTTCCCTATCTCACATTGCTTCCAGATTTTGGCTACCCCATCCCCCCCCCCCCCACACCCCATTTTCTGGGATGCTGAACACAGCTATGCACAGGCTATGTCAAACATATTTAGATTTGGATCACAATTCCAGTATATAAGACTACACTGAAATATTTTGGAATCGGGATGTTGAATGTTAAATGATTTGACCAAATTAAATAAAGCCCAAAGCCCAGTGTGTGTGTGTGTGTGTGAAGTCTAGTAGGCGACAGTACAGGTACAGAATGAGTTGTGGTGCAGGGTGAAGTAAAGTGCCGCGTGCAGTGAGTTCGTATGAGATGGCAGAGGGGTAGGTTGTTCAGCCAGTCCAGTCCAACAGCTTCGCCTCCAAATCCCTCGTCACTGAGAACACCGTAGTCCCAAAGTAGTTCCTCGTTGACCTGAATGTCCGTTAGCGCGAGGAAAATGGGATGCCATCTTGTTCCCTCTGTGAGTGGGAGTTTAAACACGTGTGGCTTCACATTTGGACTTCTCCTTGAATGGTTCATCCGACGACCAAACGTGTCCTGGTGTGGGTGACACTGGCATGGAGAATGTTGGGCGTCTATGCAGACCTTTTCCCCACATCCCGCAAAGAAGAAGACGTAACAGGCTTCGTCGAAAAGCTGTTGCATTCTCCGATTCCCTTCTTCTTGGGTGACGTACTCTCCATGGTAGTCGCAGACCACCTCTCCCTTGGAAAAGGGCATTGTCGCAATCACCCCTTCAAAAGAGAATAAGACATAGTGGTTAGGGTGGTACTATTAAAAAGAATTAATGGTAAGGGTGGTAATATTAAAAATGTTAATGGTTAGGGTGGTAATATAAAAAATGCAAACAAATATTAAAATATGACACGTTTAATAGAATCCTGGCATAATATCAAATGGCCTTACCTTTGTTCTTTGGTGGCCCAAAGTCTTTCAGGCAAAGTCCTTTCCAAGACTGTTCCTGAATACGGCGGATAATGTCTGGACTCTTGATGTGGTCCTTTACGGGGACCCAAGACTTGACCACATCCATGGCGCTTGGACAGTTGGCCGACCAGTTCTCAGCACGGAGCAGATGGTATACCCTGGCCTCTGCGGGGCGGTTCCTGAACTTGCACTTATCTGTGAAAAAGAGAGAGGACATTTTAGTTGGTTAGAACGTGAGCATGCGACAGAAATACAGTTATGGATTATTTTATTACTTGTGTAACAGAGTAGTAATAATTGAGTTTATTTGTTATCACTTTTTATTTGTTTTAATTAGCTTGGAGTCCCAGTTCCTCTGCCCAGAGGGTGGGTGTGTGGCCATTGTTGACAGCCTTCAGCGTCATTATGGCCAGCACCAATATATATTTTATTGTTATTTAAATGTGTTATGTACATATATTTATGTAAAACAAATGGTTCTAAATTGATACTATTTTTTTCTTCTTCTTCTTCTTCTTGCATCTGATATGTAGATAAGACTTGTTGCCCAGAGACTGCGTGTTGATAAAAGAGAGAGGAAGTCATTACCCAAGATATATTGGATGCGCTGTTCACGCTGGACTGTCCTCCATTTGTTGCGAAAGTAACGGAAGGATTCGCGATCAAATCCATCGCCGACAATTTCCTCACATGTGGGTGTCGTGGCATGAACAGTCACCGGAAACAGGTCAAGAAAACTAAGCCAGGTGGACTTAGCCCTCCGCTTCCTTGCAATCGCAGAGCTGAAATAGACATTCACACATTATAAGAACACATATTGACAGCACTGTCTGAAACAACAAGCTTTCAATCATGCTCATATAAACATGCCCTTTATTCATTTATGAAATGACACAAAGCTTACCGACTACCACTAGGCTCTTCGGTGTCTTCATCCGATGAAGAGGATGAAGGGGAGTGGTCCCTCTTCGGAGCCTGTGGCTGTCCAGTTGCCTGTCCCACAGCATGTGAGCAGGAAGGCTGCTCATCATCCCCCTCTTCAGAACCTGCAGCAGAGCTAAAAGATGGGGCGAGTGTTATAAAGACCAATCCATAAGTAAAAACAACAACAGTGAAAAAACAACAGCGTTTGTTATATAAGATGCCTTGCTTAAAATTACCTCGGCTGGCAACTGCTGGCAGGGGCAACTGCTGGCAGGGGGGCAACTGGGGCAACTGCTGGCAGGTCGGTCCCTGAAGCCTGTGGATACCTGTGTTAACAAAAGACACACAATGTTATTATAAAGCTATATGTGGAGCAGTGCTTTTGAATGAGCCTTTAATCTGATGGACTTACAGTTCCCACAGCCGCTTCATATCATTAGGTAGATTCACCACAGGAACTCCTTTCTGGCTCAAAAAGAAGATGCCTCCATCATGAACATCGGGACTGGACTTTTTGACACTCCATGACCTGATGTGAGCGAAGTACATCTCCAGCCACTGTATTGAAACAATCTTCCTGTTGGGGAGTCAGGCTGATGTCAAAGTGTTCAAGGAAAATGCCACTGGTTGATGGGGTTCGAGAAACCCAATGCTCTACCTGTATGGGTGAAAAAATTACATCTTCATTAGCCAGTTTGTCTTTATAAAACATTTGAGAGAAATGCAAGGCATTAAGGACAGCAAGAAAAGCTACCTTGAAGTTCAGCACAGCACTCTCTGCCAGTTGATGCTCCTTCAGGAGTATCGCCTCACAGACGTACCGGAACAGTGTCTGCTGACTCTCTTCCACCTGTTGTCCCATTCTCAGTCTACGACTGATATCGAGGACGCCAGATTTCGCTGACTCGAGTACTTGGTCGTAGTCAGGCTTTGAAGATCTATCATGAGAGATAAACATGAAAGACCGAAAAAAACACATTAGAATATGGACATGAAAATAAATATGAACTTTTAACTAACAGTGCTATTTAGAAAGTGCCACTCACTCGTCAGCAGCAGCCAAGTCCAAGCGAGTGGCCATGGGCACGTTCGGACTGCTAGCCCTCAACTCTCTCAGGAGAGTAATGGCTTTTATCCTCTGTGCCGTCTGGATGTATCTCTCCCTGGCCTGGTCGGACAGGTCCCGATGGCAGCTGGTCAGATGGCGGTCAAGACGAGACTTCTGATACCCACATCCCGGAACAGGACACGGAGATGTCAGGATCGACACTTTCTGATTCGCCAGCTGAATCAGGATCTTCTTCTCCTCTACGTTTTCCACGTGATGTACTGTGGAAAGGTGCGCAGAGATGGAGGACAGCATCTTCTTGCAAACTGGACAGGGAGCCATCTGAAATAAATGAGCACATTTTTAAACATAGGACAAATAAATTGTGCTATCCAGCGCTTTGGAGAAGTTGAAAAGTGTATTTTACGCCAAAGTGCTAATCAATAAATAAATATATAAGTTTACCGAAACTCATGACAAAAAACATCTTTTGAAACACACATTAACTTATTGCCAATCCATACCTTGAGTCAACCTGCTTTCTATGGTGTACAATTAAAAAAATTCAAGCTAAAAACTAGCTTTAACTATAGTTACACAAGGTAACTTGCATTTTGACGTTTTAACTTGCCTGGTCAATTCAGCTAAATTTATTCTGCATTTTCTGTTTAGCTAGACACCAGTTTAAGGATAGCATCATAATCTATTAGTGCTAGGTAAATTTTACTCACCAGAGCTTCTTGATCCTTGATCAGCAACGGAGAACAAGCAGTCGGCAGCGTAGCTTCAGCGGTGTGTTCCTGGATCAGCAGCGGAGATTCAGCAGTCTGTTCCTCCAGTCTGTAGGGAAAGAAGTGAACTAGTGAAGAAGTGTGCTTATACCTGTATAACGGGGGGCGTGTTCACACCTCAAGTGCTTAACATGTGAATAGCTGATGGGTCCCTAAAGTGTCCTTACGAGGCTGCTGATGGAGGAGGGAGGTACTCTAAAATTTGTAAGATTGGGTTTTAATCTTTTTAAAAGACAAAATTAGTTTTAATTCAAAAACATGAAATATACACTTTTGTTAACACACCTCCTAACTCCCTAACCAAACGCTGGCCCTTATAAACGCACTGACGCAAATAAAGCTAAATATCTCGGCCACAGTAAGTCCTAAAATCACCAAATTTTTATGGCTATATCGGACAAATTTTACGATGTTAGCTAGTAAAACCCTTCATCCATATAAATAGTTCATTTTATATGTCTGAAAATAAAAAATTAAAATAGAAAATCTGAAAAGCGCCTAAAAATGTTCCTGTTTTTTTTTTTTTTTACCATATTTTGGCCATTACATGTTCAATTGAATAATTAAAGTGTCTTAAATGAATTGTGTAAAGGCTTTTAAGTAATATTAATTCATAGATTTGACTCTGAATTATTTAATATTAGAGCAATAAGCCTTCAAATGTGAGTATGTAATTTCAGGCGGAAAATGGTCAAAATAAGCTTGGAGCTTAAGAGGTTAACCTCTTAACACGCCCTGGCCCGCCGGCGGGCCAGAAATTTATGAAAAATAATATATGGAGGTGTTTATGAATAGTTATGAACACTTACAGGCTCAATATAGACAAACAATATACCATTTTAAAGCTTAGAATCTCTGCTTTTTCAGTTATTTAGCCTATTTAGCAGTATCTCCTTTCAGAAAATAAACATTTAGGGCGAAATATGCCTTGGTTATGAATATAAGAATACATAACTCTCATATTTGCGTTTATCGTTCGTTCATATTTGATCGAATGCGGTCATGTTATACACCATTCTAATCGGTTGGCTCTCCTGATTCCGAAACTGTGCTCTGTTTTACTGAATTAGAGCTGAAAAAGCGCGTCGAAGCGCATGTTTACAGTTAAAAACTGTTTGTTTACCGCGGCGGGACACCCCACACCCCCCTCAACACCCCTCAGCGCTAGCCCAAGCTCTTACCTTCAAAACGCGTCCAAACTTAAGAGTCAATCCAGTCTCCTATAATCCACAGTTTTATCCCACTAGTGTTTGAAAAAAGTTGAGGAGGAAAAAATATATTCTAAATATATTCTCCGCTTTCAGCCAACAGCGTCAGGCCGCAGATCTCATTTGTCAGTCCACCTCTTCTACGACACTTAGCTCGTCCCTGAGACCCGGAAGCGACGTCACCACAGTTTTTTTTCACATGCTTCAAAATAAAAGTCAACTTGGCCGACTGCTCATTGTACGAAACCACGGTTATAACAAGCAACAATAGTTTAATGAACTTTATACTTTACAAATATATTTTATACTTTTTGGGTTTGGGGTGCCTAGGAGATTCTAGGTTTGACTGAGATGTAACGTTTTTGTGGAATTTGAATATTAATATATCTGGTTAGCGAACTAAATACCTAGGATATTCTAGGTTTGACTGAGATGTAGGCTATTCGCTCCGTGCACAAGATGGCGTCATTCTATTTCCGGCATTTGAGGGTGTGTGTGAGGAGTTCCGGATTGAGCAGTTCCCGTGGTTTGAGTATTGGTATCAACACGAAGAGATAGCGAGTTAGTTGGAAATAATGAGTGCATGCAGGGTTAAAGAGAGACGACTGACCTTCCAACGGGTAAGAAAGTCAGCGTTACATTGCTGTGTGCCCTTATGTACCAGTTCGTCGCGCTATAACGCCGAGATTAGTTTTCATAAGTTTCCCGTTGACGCTGCGGTGCGTGCTAAGTGGCTAACTAAGATCCGTAGGGATAAGTTCACTCCAACAGTGAACACCCGTGTGTGTGGCCGGCATTTTCAACCGGGAGACTTCGCAGTGACTGCAGGGGGACTGAGGAGGTTACAGAGTGGAGCTGTACCCCTTCTGTTTTCCTGGAATGAGTACACTCTGCCTACACCGAGGCAGAATGTATGGGAGCGCCGCCCGAGAGCAGAGGAGCCTCTCCACGATCTGCCTGCAGACTTGGAGTCGGAGGACGATATGGACACAGCAGCACCTGATCATGATTACTGCTTAACTCCAGCGACAGCGGTGATGGCAGCTGAGATGGCCAATGAAAATGAAGCTCTGCGCCAGAAAATTGGGGAACTCCAACACCAGCTGGAAGTGCTACAGCTGAGGACGCGTTTTGGTATTCAGCGCCTGGCGGGGTCAGACGAGGACATTCGCTTTTACACCAGGTTGGTTAATTAAGCTTTTATCATTATGCTGACGTGTATTTACTGTGCTTTAGTAAGCTGGTTTACCAACTCAGCTTGATCAATGTAGAGTGTATTTTTGTACTCCTTAACTAGCTATAAGAGGTCTGATTAGACTTAAAACAACTATCAGCACAAGCTGATCTAGAGCAGAATTTTTTTCAGCAAGTTTATATAGCTAAGAATAGTTTGAAAAACATGTTTATCTGAAGCAGTGGTATCAACGCAGAGTACTAAACAAACAAAACGAAGTCTAACATGAACATTGTTACTTTCTAAGGTTTGCTACATACAAGCACTTCCAGGCATTCTGGAAATTGGTGGAGCCTGCAGTCAACACCAAGATGGTGCGGATCACCAGTGCCCAGGCTGCATCTGCCAGCAGCTCTGAAGTCTCTCAACCAGCAACGGTATGTAGCATACAAGGGGTTTTGAGTGGATGTACATTTACAATAATTGTTGTATAAGCAGTACACAGACCATTTACTGATAAAAGTAGTGATAGTACAGTGTTGAACAGTGGTAACTAACCCTGGTCCTGGAGATCTATGTTCCTGCACAGTTTAGTCCTAACCTGCATCTAACGTTAACACACCTGACCCAACAAAACCAAGGACAAAAGTTAGCTAATTAGCCAGACCAGGTTTGGCAGACCACTGTTAGAACCAGATTTAACAGGAACATGGATCTTTAAGGCCAGGGTTGGTGACATTGTATGGTGGTGTTTCTCTGTTAAAATTATGCTTATTTAAAGGGGAATGGATATGGTGTGAAATGCGAGTACAAACTTTTACCTAATAGCCCACCCTGATTCACCCCCAGCATTTCGATATACAACACTTTTAGGTGATTTTCCAAAAAGGCTCATAATGCTAGCTATAGGAATATAGTGTTTCCCTTCCAAAGAAATGGCTATTTTTACACCATTAACAAACTCAAAGTAGCTTCACACTTCATTTGTAGAAATCGGAGGCCCTAACACTTAAATGAAGCACTGAGAGCTTTAAAAGTGCACAGATAGTTTGTTTAAAAACACTATTGTACCCAAGGGTATGTTTAAGAAGGTACCTGTGTACTTCAAAAGTTCTCAGTGCCTTGTTTTAAATGTCAGGACCTCAGAAGTTTTGAGCTACTTGGAGTTTGTTAATGATGTAAAAATAGTGATTTCTTTGCATGGGTAATGGTATGCCCTTAACGCTAGTATTGTGTAAGCCTTTACGTAAGGTTGCATTGGCTAAAAGCACTGTATCTAGGAATGCTGGAGATTAATGGAGGTGGCCTATTTGACAAAAGTTCCGACTTATGTTTTACTACTACACCCCAAGTCCATTTCACATTGGATTTTCTTTTTTAAGTAAAGGTACAAAAGCAGGTAAAATACTCATTTTACAGAATAGCACATGGATAGAACTAAGTAAGTATACCTAGTTATATTCATTCACTGTCACTTCTAAGAATATGGCTTTTGTCTTTTTACAGAAACTTCCACCAATAGATGAGCTGCTGCTGTTCCTCATGCACCTGTCAGTGGGCCTGCCTCTCAGGGATCTTGCAGAACGGTTTGGCATTCACCGCACCACAGCCAGCAGGATTATTTCCACCTGGACACACTTCCTGTACATCCTGCTAGGAAGCCAACGTCTGTGGATCCCCCCTGAAGTTGTCAGAGCTCACCTTCCACCTGAGTTTTCAGCTTTCCCAGACACGCAGGTGGTGCTCGACTGCACTGAAATCTTTTGCCAGACACCATCCTCTCTCCTGCTACAGAGTGAGGTGTTTTCAGCGTACAAATCGCACTCTACTTTTAAGGCCTTGATTGGCATGGCACCCCATGGTGCCATTACATTTGTGTCTGGCTTGTATGCAGGATCCATGAGTGATCGAGAGATCTTCAAGCTATCTGGCATCATAAACCTGCTCACACCAGACATGGCAATTATGGTTGACAAAGGGTTTCTTGTGGACAACCTGGCTCCATGCAAGGTTTATAGACCTGCCTTTCTCTCAAGAAACACCCAAATGAGCAGGGAGGATGTCAGGCAGACCCAATCCATTGCACGTCTGAGGGTTCATGTGGAGAGATGCATTAGGAGGGTGAAAGAGAATAAACTTTTTGACAAGGCAATACCACTCTCTGTTTGTGGAAGCATTGAAGAGCTATTTAATGTAGCCTGCTTCCTGGTCAACTACCAGAACGGACCACTGGTAAAGGCATGGGCAACTTAGGAATGAAGTCTGGACTCATTGAAATTTTGGCTTACTTGGTGCTTGTAAATAGTTTTATTATAGTTATTATATATTGTAGTTAAATGTTTGCTTATTTGGTGCTTGTAAATAGTTTTATTATAGTTATTATATATTGTAGTTAAATGTTTGCTGATTTGGTGCTTGTAAATATTTTTTTATATGAATAATATAACTCCTTGACCATAATTGATTAAACAGCTGTTATTCACAGTTTCTGTATTACATCTTTTTTTAATTATATAGGCATACACTAAATGGGTACATCTTTAATCCCACTTTGATTTATTTTATCCGTTCTACACATAGGGCAGTTCTAATATTACATCTTGTTGCCTTTCTGTCTCTCTGTATACTTTTAGATTCTGCTCAGTCAGTTTTTTTCTGCTCTGTTGTAGCCAGGAGCAGAAAGAACAGACAAAGAAATCTAAAAGTATACAGAGAGACAGAAGGATTGCAAGATGTAATGATATAACTACAAAGTTGTCCTATATGCGTAGAACTGATAAAAATAGACATTGCATCTCTTTAAACCACTGCTAATGAGATTTGCAGTTACACATTTAATTAAGAACGATTTCTGCATTGTTTTACACATAATTAAAAGCATGGTAGCATAAAGAAAAGGACTCATTGTCAAAACACATTTAATATTTATTAACAATTAATCAAAACTCATTGAAGTATAATTAGTTCGTAGGAAAATGTACTGTTTTAGTGAGATATCAAACTGCCAAAAGTGGTGAGAAGTCATTACACGGTCATGTAAAAATAAAAAAAGAAATAATCTCCCTTCTCTCTAATGGTTTTAGCCACTTCACAGTCTCTATATATGCGCTGAATAAGAATATCCTCCTCTGCAAATACAACAAAATCACACCACTCCATACCTGTAAGTAGGAGCTGGCCTTGTACCTGCCAGTAGTAGCTGTGAGTCTGCTTTAATTTCATTGTGCCACTCTGCATTTTCAGGTAACTACAGTCCACGTAGCTTTTTGCATTGGGGCATTTAATTTCCACCAATCCAAAGGGTGGGCTCTCAGTCGGGTCAAACACCAGACCATCAGGAGATGACCCTAACCAGGGGGCATCTGGGTGGATGACGAAACCACAAGGCCAGTAATTTGTGTTTTTCATCCGGCAGTACTCCTGGATGGCAACCGGTTCCAGTGCCAATCCCCTCTTCATTGCAGCAGTTTGATCCACTCCCTTTCGAATCCTTTGTGACAGGATTTCTGCAGAACTCTGACCTCTGACATGGCATATTTCCCTGAATCGGGAGGAAGTTATTCTTGGCCTCCTGACTCGGTGCCACTCCACAGAGTTGCTCTGCTCCCTGGTGGCAACCTCTATTTTCCTTGCCATGTCAAATGTAGTGGCAAGTGACTGCAGATGGAGGTGTTGTTGGTGAGTGCACACAAACTGGCAGTTAGTAGGCTCCAGCCTATAACCGTCTACAGGTAAAGGTGGTGGCAGAGGGGCATCTGGATGGCGTACAACAACCCGGCTCACTGGTACTGGATGCTGGTAGGAGATGGGGCTACCCGCCTGGACTTTCCCAAAAGCTGAATCAACCAGCGGGACGTCTGCACTTATGGCCATGGTGGTGATGAGTGGAGCGATGTCTGCAGTGAAGTCCTGGTACTGCTCATCAACTTTAAGGACATCTGGATCTGGCAGCTCCCCTCGCACTGCCTTGTAACGTTTACTCCTTTGAAGAATTAAATTCCACAGTAAGGAGTTTGTACACTCAAACAACAAAGGTTATACAGTAAGCAAAGCATATATAGGACAATTCATATTACCTTACACCATCAGCAACTGTAAACTGCTTTGGCTTGGAGGATAAGAACACAATGTCACTCACGCGGCATGGTTTTACACCCTATAAATTACATAAACAAATGATCACATAACTTTAAATCATTGTTAATGTGACATAGTACATCAGCTCATGATGTAGCTTGTTGAAGAAATCATTTTGGTGTTGTTGGGAACACACTCACCATGGTTCTTGGCTTGTGCCAGCGTTGTTCTGTTTCTGTGCAGCTTAGGACTGGGGGTACAGCAGCCAGGTTCAGTGTGGAGTAGTGCGCAGTCTGGAACAGTAGTGCAACATTGTGGTTGCAGAGGGCTGTCCCAGCCACACAGGAGCACTCTGCCACTGCAATGTCCACTGGTACACGGTCTTCAAAGACAATCTACACATTAAAAAAATAAATCAGTCAAAACATCAGGCTAAATGAGGGGTGTCCAATTTTATATGCAAAGGGCTGGTGTGGCTGCAGGTTTTTATTCAAGCCAAATAGATGCTAGTCATCTGCTGTTTGAAATCTGATTACACTTGTTGAATTATTTGGTCAGTTTTTGCTGCTCATTGTTTAGCAAAAACCTGCCACCATACCAGAACTGTACATATAAACTGGACACCCCTGGGCTTAATTTTGACAGGTTATCAACTGTATCAAAATGAGAGAATAAGCAATATACAGGACCATTTAAAAAAAAATTAGAATATCTATGAAAAGTTCCTTTATTTCAGTAATTCAGTTCAAAATGTGAAACTCATTCTATGAATGTATTACACACAGAGTGGTCTACTTGTAAGTGTTTTTCTTTTATTGATTTTTTATTGATTGGTTTATTTGTGTCTCAGATAATTAGAATATCATATAAGACCAATTGATACTTTTGGCAGTGTGATCCATCTGCTGGTGTTGATCCACTGTGTTTTATTATCAAGTCTAAAGTCAGTGCAGTTTTGTTTTCTCACAAAATCTTACAGCACTTCATGCTCCCATCTACTGACTTTTATAGAGATGCAGATTTCATTTTCCAGCAGGACTTGGCACACTGCAGAAAGTACATATTAGTCTTATATGATATTCTTATTTTCTGATACACTGATTTTGGGTTTCATTGGCTGCAAGCCATAATCATCAATAATAAAATAAATAAACTAAAAATAGATCACTCTGTGTCTAATACGTCTATATAATATGAGTTTCACATTTTTAACTAAATTACTGAAATAAAGTAACTTATTAAAAATATTCTAGGTCTGCTCCCTGTTTGGAATGCTGCAATCTAAGAACGATAAGCTTATCTAGCCTTTATCACTTCACTTCTCAATTTTCTGAAAATATTTTGAAGTTAGTGAAACACTGAACAGTGTTAGTAAAACAGTGTTAGTAAAACAAAGGAACAGGTGCAGGGTACAAAATACTTACCGCTGCCAAGTGAACCATTAAGATATTTGGACCCTGCATGTATTATACTAAATATACAGTAAAGAACAACAGCCATCACAAGCAGTTTTGGGGTTTCCATGAAAGCTAGGTATTACTTAATTTATAGGTCATTTCACACACGGTTACCAGCTGACCTGAGCTATTTTCACTTTGCAACCTGTATAACCTGTATTAGCTGGCTAAGCTTATTTGGATACTCAGTAAAATGTGGAATCATGTGAAAGTAAACAATAGGGAAACTAGCTAATTAATGAATAGAGATTTTCATTATGACAATATTTGATTATAAAATTGAATGGGCTTACATTCTATACTAACTAGCTAGTTGTAATATATAAAATAACTAAGGATTTTACATTGTTATTTCAGTCCTAAATCACTAAATAGCTAACCCAGCCACATTAAAACCCCAGAACATGAATCTGACTGAGGCTGTGAACTAAAACACTGTTTTTCCTCCCTACTCTGAGGTCGTGAGGTTTTTCACTCTTCCTCATCGACCTGTAACAGGTAGCCCTGACGCTCACTCTCCCTGATGAATCTCTGTTTGAAACTGTGGGCATTGAAACTTGACATTATTTATGTTAAACATAACAATCACACTGAATGTCATTAAAACATCTGACATTGGATAAAACTGTCGTTAACGTCCAAGTTAGACAATAAGCTCAGCTAAATTACAGGGTGTGTAGCTAGCTAGGCTAACTAGGCTGGCTAGCTAGCTGAGTAATAGTGTAACATACCTTCATAGTTGTCGATGTAACTGGATATATACATCTTATATCCTTTCTCCCTTTTGCTCCTCGGGGTTGAGCTGGCCGCTTGGACTATCCGGTGTACATCCGTGATGGTAATTTTCGGAAGGTCTTGGAGGCACCTCGTGTAAAACACAGCCATCTTCACTTCTGCGCGTCTATCCTGTGTACCGGAGCGGAACTATACACACGCACCCTCAAAAAACCGGAACTAGTTACACGTCATCCCGTGCAACTAGCGAATAGGTTTGTGTTGTAATATAAAACATTCATTGACAAAATCGTCTAACTTAGCTAGTTGTTTTGATTGCTAGTAACCTGTTACATTTTCTAATAGCATGCTTGTCTGTGTTTTAATAACACTATAAAATTGCTTATTTTCAGAAAGATGCAATAAAGTATGCACAATAAACAAGCGGAAAAATAATTCAAGCAGCGACTTTATTAAAAAACAACTTCAAATACCTATTTAAAATGTTTATATGGTATTAATGTATTACTACAAGAAAAAAAGAGACATTTCTTAAACATTAACATATTTATTTGCACACACACAGACACACACTCACAAACACAGCAAACTTCAAAAAATATATATATTTACAAATATTAACTATTTACAAAAAAAAAAAAAAATAATGGTGTCCTTGGCGAAGGTCCGGTTCCTCACTATCACTTTCTCCCTGCTCCCTGAAAAATGAGAAACAAAACAAGAGCAACCCATTAAAAGTTGATTTCAGTGAATATGTATTTATCGTTTATATTATGTTTATTATGGAGACTAGACAGACAAGACTGGTACATTTTGAGCTTCCTGAGAGCTAGGGTTAGGGAGTTAGGAAATATATTTACTAAAGTGTCTGTGTTTACCAAAGCGTATTTTTAGACTTCCTGTAACACAGGGGGTGAGTACACAGGAAATTTGGCAGTGTTAAATCAACACTGAGAGTGTAAAGTTTAACACTAATAAGTGTTAATTTTACACTAACAGTGTTGATTTAACACTGCCAAATTTCCTGTGTACTTTCCAAATATGTAAGAATCATTCCTGTAACATACTCACAGTTTCACCTTCTAGCTGGGCTTCCCGGACTTCCGAGACCAACATATTTGTCAGGACTCCTGTTCTGTGGCTGGATATTTCATAGGAATATGCGGCCACAGGACAGGAGTCCTGACAAATATGTTGGTCTCGGAAGGCCGAACACTCCGCACAGGTGGACCCGTGTTGGGTCCTTCTGTAACAAGTCTATTAAAAGCACAGAACAATTAATATGATTCTATTAAAATAACAATTGTTAAACCTCTCAATAGGAATAATACTTACGTGTGTGTGGTAGCTCCTTGAAGAAAATGTCAGTGGTCACCATCGGCATCTCGTTCTTGTCTACCTTGTCTTCCAAGAACCAAGGGATACGGGGGATGTGGTGCATAAACGGATACAGGACGTTCCTGCGGCTGCCTGGGATAGATAAATAGATAGATAGATAGATAGATAGATAGATCTGCTGGCCACGTTGTGGTATCCAGTGAGGTGTTTGGAAAGATTAGAATATACATTGTGGCAGATGGGGCACTTCTGCGTCCTCATTGTGTGCCTAAATTCTAAATTTAACTCCAACCCTCCGTAGTGTACAAATAATCCCGCCCCCCCAAAAAAAATATTTCTATTCTATATCCCCAGCTAATCTAACCCTAGCTAATCTAAACTTAATGCTAAAGCTAACTCCTAATCTAACGGAAATGCCACAGTTTGATAAAAAAAGGCTTAAACATTTTACTCTTACATTTTGTACTTTTTTGTGTATGTTTTTGAAAGAGAGAAAAAGGACAACAGATAGGGATAGATAGGGAGAGGCAAAAGAAAGAGAGATAGAAAGAGAGAGATTAATGAGCACTGAAGGGCACTTCAGAACAGATCTGTCCTCATGCAGCCTTGAAACCACACGAGTAAACACAGAGCACAAACATTTACGTAAAACAAACATTTAGCAACATCTCAACAAATGCCTTCATATAGAAAAATATACTAACTTACGCCTTGACTCTTCTTTCTACTTTACACTTTAATGAAAACTCCCTGAATCTTCAGCAGCCACAAAAAAAAAATATTAAAGCAATGTACTGCACAAAAAAGAAAATTCCCATCCCTTAATATTTTAAAATGTCTTTTGCTGTATGTTTTGTAGCGAGGAGAACTGAGAATGGCCTCTCCGGAGTGGCGGTCGGCCTCTTCTTTTTCTTCTGGGCCTTCTTCTTCCTCTTCTTCACTGTCCTCTTCCTCCTGTACCTACTCTTCCTCCTGTACATCCTCTTCCTCCTCTTCATCCGGGCCCTCCTCAGTGCTAAGTGGCACATAAAACTTGGAGGCTACTGCCTCCGAGTGGCACATGTACCTGTGCACCGCCGCCTTTTTGGTTGGTGAGAGGTTTTTAGTCTGAAAAATAAGAAAACAAAAGCAACTAATTAAAATTAACGTTCAGCCCCTTCAAATTTATCTCTCACGTCCAATCACTTCCAGGATAAAATGCTCCACTCCACTGCACCTTGCCGGGAACATGCAGTCCTGTTCTCGGTAGAGCTTGTGCCCAATAACCTGGTAATGTGTTCCCACACCTCGCTGCACCGTGTTCAGCATCAGCTCCTTTGATATACCATTTCTGAAAGGCTGCAGGTCGTCTTTCAGGACACTGGTGTGACAGCTGCAGTTCTTTTGGCTGCATGGCTGAAACTTCTTGGCTGCTTCAGACATCTTGTTCAGATATTTCTGCCATCTTGTGTCCTTCTCAGCAGCACTAAAAAAAAATAATTAGCTGCCCAACCATTTCCATTCCCACTCAGGTCCTCCAAATAAACAAAATTCCCATATCTTAATATTTTTAAATGTCTTTTGCTGTATGTTTTATAGCGAGGAGAATTGAGAATGGCTGGTTCTTTTTCTTCTCTCCTTTCTTTAGGTGGTAGGGACAAGTGCTTCGGATATGTGAAGCACACGACCGCCCCCTTGTGGCCTGCAGTGGTCCTGCGGCACTAGCCCCTCCCCCTCCCTCGCAGGCCCCTCCCACGTCCAAAGCCCTATGTCACATTTACTCCAATGAATTAGTGGATTAACCCTTCGCTTTCCGTAAAAAAACAACTGGGCCCAGTACTCTGCGTTGATACCACTGCTT